GACTCCAAGATCCTTTTCCACCTCCGTGCTGACAAGAGGGGAGTTCCCCAACCTGTAGGTATGGTGCCGGTTGTTCCTCCCCAGGTGCATCACCTTGCACTTGTCTGTGTTGAAACCCATCCTATTCTCATCCGCCCACCCTTGTAACCTATCTAGGTCAGATTGTAGCCTGTTGCTTCCTTCTAGTGTGCCCACGTCCCCCCACATCTTAGTGTCATCAGCAAATTTGAGCAGGGTGCTTTTTACCCCCTCCTCCAAATCACTGATGAAGATGTTGAACAGTGTGGGCCCAAGGACCGAGCCCTGCAGAACCCCACTGCCCACGTCCTTCCAGGTTGAGAAGGACCCATCCACTACCACCCTCTGGGTGCAGCCCTCCAGTCAGTTGGCGACCCATTTGACTGTGTGCTCTTCCACAGTGAGATTTGGATAGTCTATCAAGGTGCCTATATTAGAAGATTAAGCTCAGTTCAGATTTAAGCTATTCAGATCTTTCCAGGCTGTCAGAATTCCCATAAAGCTCAACTTCGGCATTAAGAACGTTCCCTTGGTCGGATGGGAGATATTCTATGTGTTCTGCTCCCTCTCTCAAGATATTTACCTCATCTACGAATTTGGAAACAGGCAAGTGGCTGAGCTCAAAGTAGGTTTGTGCCCCATAAAGGAGAACTGAATAAAACGTAGCAGCTACCATCCATGTATCAGAGAAGGTGGAGAAGATGTGACGTGTCAAGGACTCAGGAGCACTGAAATACACAGACAGAGGTTCTTCGCTATCCCCTGTGTCAAGAGATAGAAACAAATTAAGAACAAGGCCAATGGGTAAATCCCCTTTCTTACAGTTTTGCCCAGTTAACTATTGTGAGCTTTGCCCACTTCACTCAGCACCAGTCAGAACTTCATCCTGCTCAATACAGAGACTAGGGAATGGACCTGTATAAACCCAAAGTAGGGAGTAAGGAGCAGTCCAGGACACTGCCCTGTTACACAGACACAAGTTGCTGTGACCTAGTAATGAGAAGGCAGCCAAAGAGAGTAGAATATGACTAAGTTAGCTGTGCTCCTTTATTATAATGCATAAAAGAGTGAGAGATCAAAAGTCTTAGACCAAGGTATAAAACAATGGAAGTGCGATGTTATGTTTCCAAAGTCAAAGTCTAGGACTGTAAACAAGTAGCTTGAATTTCAAAAGTGGAGTCACAGGGGGCTGCAATTTGGGCTTAGCACTTTTGAAAATCAGGTTACTTTAAGGGTCTAACTTTAGGTTTTGCTTTCAAAAATCACAGCCTCAATAAAATCAGGTATAAGAGTTTGAAAGACATATGAAAGGGTTCATTTTTTTCTGAGCTATACAGAAGGTCCAAATTCAGTTTGGTTCAAGTTATGAGACATATTGTGGGTTGGTTCTGTACAGTGCATATCATGCACATCATGCATGCCTTTGTCACCTGATATACTTGTACACATTACTTTCCTCAGTATGTTTATTTCAGTTTGTCCATAACAACTAGACTGATGCTATTTACAATTTGGATTATCGTATATATTTGACTAATCACATATCAAACACTGAACTGTAAAGATAAATCAGCACACAATGAAGTCTCAGATTGCCAACACAACTACTACAATTTTGTAACCTCTGGGACTGAATTTTTTTGCTGAACTCACTTCCTTTTATAGAACTCTTGGTTTACATTGGCTACAGCAGTTTCTATTGTTTTTTAGTATTATGTGCCAATTAACCACACCTGTTGGCCAGTTACAGCGTGAAAAAACAGCAAACATGCCTGACAACAGCTTGAAACTGAAACCAGCAACAAGGAAGCAGAAAAGTTTTAAAATCAAATAATTAAATTATTTTATCCATCACAACTAGTCAACAGCGGTTAAGAGCATAACCCATGTCTCCTAGACTCAAACCCCAAGCTCAGTCAACTAAACTATAGGCACACCAGCCATAACTAATCATACCTGTGAACTGCAAGGACTTAATGGTTTCATATGGACAATCATATCTGTAATCTCTGTCTTCTTCCTGAGGAGTCATCTTCGCACTGAAGAAATTTGACAGCTTTGTCTGGATTTGAAGAGATCCACCTTCACTTCCCTTTTCCGTGAACACAACGAAACTGGCTGGAGTTATGTCACAAAGTAGGACCCTTCTCTGGTGGCAAGACCAGACAGCTGTGGCAATGTCTTTCAATATTCCTACTATATTGGACAGTGTGAGCCCATTCCTCTCCTCCTGCAGGAAAGTCAAAAGAGGTTTCCCGTCTTCCAACATATAACATGGAGGCACACTGCAGGAACTGAACCTTTTCAGGCTGGCAATGGAATTGCTGACTTGACACAGCTTCACTGTTCTGATCACCTCTTGAAATCTTTCATTGTCACTGTCAGTAGAGTTAGTCTGCAGGATGTCATTCAGAGTCTGCTGTTTAGCCATGCAGATCAGTACATTTCCAGTAGATACAGTTCCCTGGGCTATCATGCAACTGGAATTGACTTGCAGTTGTCCCCTGATGATTAGATCTGGGAAGGTAACCTTCAGATATTCTTGGACAGCTGGTTCCATGAGTTTGGGACTGGCTGGGATCAGCTTGTTTCCCAGCTCTGTAATGTTGACATAGGTACCACCCTCACTGAAAAGCAGAGGTGCAATGCAACTTCTAACCTCACTTAATGGATGGTAAATTAGTTTTTGGAAGCAATGATTTAGGATGGTCATCACCCAACGTTTCTTTCCTTTGGTGTCAGCACTCACACACCATTCCCACAGGCTTACGAGAAATTTCAGACATTCTGTTACTGACCCTAGGATAGAACAGCATGATGTCACTAGTGCCTCTCATCCCTAAATAACTCATATTACTACAGAAACTTCTAGAACATTTGCAGACATTACTTAAGTACACACTGGAATGGACACAACAGCTATGTTCAAAAGAGCACAGCAATGTTACGTGGTGGTTTGAGACAGGAGGAGAAAATACAGTATATCCCACTGAAACTGCAAGGATATTTTAAACAGACAGAATGTAGCTACCCATTTATGCCACTGATTTGATCATCAGAACACATGCATTCTTGCAAAAAGGCCCAGGGCAGCTTTAATGGTCACAAGTGACCAGAAGTTGCATTTTATGTCACTTCCTAAAGGCCACATTTCCATGAATGGCATCTTAGCACTATGCTGCAGTACTAACACAATACTAAGACAGAACACAACCCCAAGTATGCAACTGGCTTTCCAAAGATAGATTAGAAAATTCAGCAATCTATGAGAAAAGCCACTTGTTTGAGCCAGACAGAAAGAAAAGAGGGATAAAGGCAATTGCATGTATTGTACCTGGAGTATGGTTCTCTTGGATATGTTCAGTAACACGTTCAACTATTTCCAGTGAAATCTCCCAGTGCTTTTTCCCCATCTTTGTGCAGACATTAAAGAGGAACAAATAGCCAATCACAAGAAGCTTTTCTTCAAAAACCTGGAAAATGTTGAAAAGAAATATAGGATGTTTCTACAAGTGCTTTTACATGCACCTAAACTTAATGCGCATTTGCCTAATGCTCATTAAGGCAATTCAGGCACATATCTACACATGCAGATGCTAAGGCGCATTAAGGCAGTGTGTGGACCTACTTGGGACTAAACTAAAGTTGGGACTAATGTTAGTCCCACATCAGTCAACATACACAGTGTTAATGCACCTTAACACATCTACACGTGCATTAAGGAATTTTAGCTATTTGTGCATAAATTTGATACCTGCTTTTGTAGGTATAAAATTTAGGCATGAATACCCTAAAATTGCCATTTTTAAGGTGCATTAAGGATGTGCATGTGTAGACCCATGTCTTTAATGTGCCTCAAACATGGCTAATGGACCTTAAATCAGCATGTGTAGATGTGCCCATACATATGAACACTTGTGGTTACGGGGCTGGGGGGGGTTGCTTTTAGTCAGCAAGTGGCATTAGTTACACATTATTTTAAGCAGGTTCATGAACATCTTACTCTCCAAGTCTTCGCCACCTCCAAGGGTGTATCTGATGGGGTGCAGCTGTATAGTCATACTCCCCTTTGGCTGTGTGCCATATGTGCAGTGAGTTCTGAGCTCATTGGCATGTCAGCACAGCTGCTACCAGGGCTTGGCACGTGCCATAAGCTCAGCTCACCAGGTAGTCAGCATGGGGTCTGGCTAGGATTCCCTGCCTTCACACAGCTCTGGAGCCTAGGGGTTGAGTGCCACTGCTGCTTGCCCTTCCCCTCCCTTCCTCCACCCATAGGGTTGCCAACTCTCTTTGAATCTATTCCGAGAGGTTTCCAGAATGTGAATGCGCCCACAACACACAACACAAACGTGCCTGCATGCTTGCATATATTAGTTATGGATTACGGTGTGTACAATTTACATCAGGAAGACAAATGCACATTACTATTACATTTTTAAAACCCCCTGGACTACTGTATAAATCAGATTCAATATTTAATATTTATTTTAATGAATGCTCTAGGCTTCCCCTGGGGGCATCATAGGAATGAAAAAGCTCTTTGTTGCAAAACCACAACTAAGTCCTAAAACTAATATGAAACAGGGGTTGGAATCTCGCCACCTTTGAAATGAGTAAAAAGAGGAAATGACACAGGATGTTTTCATAGAGTTCTTAGATTTCATGGACATTAGGCCTGGAAGGGACCTCGTGAGATCATCAGGTCCAGCCCCCTGCCCAAGAGGCAGGAAGTGACGTGTCTGAGGTTTCATAGCGATGCAGCCTGCAGTCCTAATACCCCAACCCCTTTGTGATCCAGATACAAATTTCTTCCCTTGGCTCTAGTATTTGCCAGTCCCAAGATCACAGGATCAAACCAAGGGTGATGGAACCTCTGTAACAAGCCAGTGGTTTTGAACAGAACGCACACTGGGCCGTGATCACTTTGTTACTCACCTTCTCAGTGATAACCAGGATGAAGATGTGTCTTACCACCCAGGGGATCCTCTGCAGCTGTTTCTGGATGGAGTGGAACTGCAGAACTCTCTCATTTGTGAAAGACACTCTCCGCTCCAGTATTTGCAGGAAATGTTTCAGGTGCTTCACATACATTGCCATGAAATTTGGCCAGGCTTTGGGTTTCTTAGCTGCAGTGCAGATGGCAGTGTTGATTTTCTGGTAGGCATTAAAGCAGAGATACTCATAATTTATCTCCTCTGAGGGGATGTTTTGTTTTGTAAAAGTCAGAGCCCGCAGCTTAGCCCTCAGCCTCACATTGTACACCATGGAGATGTTAATGAAAATCACAGCCAGGGTCCAACAGTAGAGCTTCTCCAGCTGAAGGCAAGGCTCCAGGTGAGAGCCAAGTGTGTTGTTTTGGAGAAGCATTCCTATTGTCTGCTCAAAGTCTTCCAAGTCTGCCATCCCAGAGAAAGTCAAAATGTTTTTCCTCATGGTCCTGATCAGTGCCCGGCAGGCATGTGCTCTGACCGCTTCTCTGCCATCTTCACAGTAGTTTAGCAAACAACCCACTTGATCACGAAATGGCAAGCAGGACACATCTTTCAAGATGTCTTTGATTTCTGAAGGGAAGAGGAGGCTAATATCAGCTGGGCTTGAAATAGGACCCATGGGAGTGAAAAGATCTAGGTATCAAAATTCTGGGGGCGTTTGTATTCATAATGGCTTCAGAAATGTGCAGAGAGGTGGAGAAATTACATAGCTATCACTTTGTAAACACAAGCGACATTTCCTTTTTCCCATCTCTCTTCACTGATGTTTTCTGTTTCTTTCTTCTCACCTCTTGCTCACTTCACCCATCATTCCCTCTCCTCACCCTGTGACATTCCTCCATTCTCCAACCATTCCCATCCCTTTCCTTATTCTCCCTGATATTTTCATTCTCATCCATTCCCCTCTTGGTCTCTGCTCCTTCCTTCCTTTCTTCTACAGGAGGCAACCATTCCATTCAGCTCCGCGTCTCCCCACCTGCACAATCATGAGCCTACTTGTTGTCAGGCTACGCCTGCCAACAAACCTTTCTGTCAGTATGTACTCAGTTCAGGGGCCACACGCAATATTTTAAAGGACAGAATTGACCATTTATTCAAATAGAACCTGGTTAAAGTTCCAGTGAAGCCTTCATTGACCTCCAGAGGACCTGGATCAAAGTCCACAGTGCTGCTACAGGTACCTGCCTGATAAATCATGCTTCTGGACCACCTCGTATAACTAATATCCTCCATGGAGATGCATCTATTTTAGAAGACAAGGAGCTGACATAGCTGCATGAACAAGAAAGTGTCATCGTGACGAAATTTAAGAGCTGCCAGATACTACAATAACCAGTCTCTCCCTGTCCTGCTGAAAGCATTACCTCTGCGTGAGAGCACCTTGTATCTCTGCGGCCAGGATAAGTAACTCTTCTGGTATCTGGTCCCCTGGCATTTCCTTGGTGGCCTAAAGGATATCCTTGATCTAGCTGACCTCTCAAAAGGGGCTGTAAAGGAGACACATGCAAAGACATATTATTTGATATGAGGAATGTGCCTCTGCAGTCCCAGAGATGCTTTGTAAGAAGCCCAAACAGCACATTGAAAAAACTTACATTCTCTGCCCGTAATAAGGGACGAGGATGAAGTAGACTCTGAAAAGAGGAGGCAGGAGATGAATGTTATAGAATTTTTCACCATGTAATTCAAAACATAAATCCGGAAAGGAAGACTTCCTGGGCCCGTATGCAGTTTACTATAGACTGGAATGTGTTTAGTATCAGTCTGTTCCTGCTCCCTCCAGTCTTGCACCAGCCCCCTGCAGCAGCCAGGGGGGAGCTCTAGGCTCCTTCTGGGTGCTAGCTCAGAGGCTGCCAAAAGCTGGGAAATTGCTCCCTGCCACCAGCAGCTGCCTGCTGCAGGGTAGGCTCTGGGACCCAGCCAGGGACATAGGCAGTGGAACTTGGGGCTAACGGGGCTTAGCCCCACCAAATGCGGGACAGCGGTAGGGCAGCCCAGCCAAGGGCTTCCGGCAGCTGCAGCCAGGTTGGGAAGGGAGTGAGGCTGGGGGCTGGGGCTAGGGGTGGGGCAGGCGCTACACAGCTGGACGCGGAACTGAGCCACAAGAAGCTCATCCAGGGGGAACGGCTCCTGCTGCTACATCCCGGGGGCAGGCTGCCAGTTTGGGCTGGGGCTGGGGCCAGGGCCGGCGTTGTGCTAGGCTCTTCCTGGGGATGACTCTGAGCAGGGCAGGGCAGGTGCAGAGGTCCTGGGGGCTCCATCCCCTCCACCCTGGCAGCCTGAGTCTGGCCCCACTCCATCCCCTGGCTCCAAGCCCCCCCAGGCAGTGTGGGGCCAAGTCTGGTGTGGGGAGGCATCTGGGGACAGTGCAGGGCTAGGGGCAGTGGATTCATGGGTACAGTGGGCACCAGTGCCAGGCAATGACCCTGGGTGCAGGGGAAGGGAAAGGCGCAGTGGGCCCAAGCCCTGATCCCGATCCTGGGCTTGGCTTGGCTCCACTCCCTCCTCCCTTCCCCTATGGCCCTTTCCCCTCCCCCTGCCCCTGCCTCCTCCAACTTTCCTTCCCACATGCTTAGCCTCCCCCAATAAAAGTTTCTCCCTCCACCTATGGGCAGGGACCATGTCCCCCTCCCCCATCAGCACAGAGCTCCTAGCCCCCACTCCCTGGGGTCAGGGAGCCTGGAAAGAGTGGCAGGGGAGGTGCAGGTCCCCACCCCCTGCCCAAATCTCCTGGTGGGGCAGCTAGCAGTGGGCCCACAGCTGGACAGGGATTTTCCACCCAGCATGGGGCACACTGCTACTTGCCCCACCAATAGATTGGAGGAGGGGGCTGGAACCTGCCCCTCCACCGCAGCTCTTTCCAAGTCCCATACCTCGATCGCCTGATGGGCCACAGAGCTAGGAAAAATCTGTGGGGCTGGGACCTGCCCCTGACCAGGAACACTCTCCCCAGGCCCAGCCCCCACTCTGTGATGGTGACTGTGGAGTGGGGGCTGGGAGTTCCCTGTTGTCAAGGCAGATGGACATTGTCCCCACTGGGGCAGTGGTGGTAGAGCCCACCCCATCAGCAGGCAGCTTCCTGGGGCAGGAAGCAATCTCCCACCCCCTGCTGCCCAGGTGCTCAGGACCATATTTGCTCCTGACTGGCTTTCTATACATGCTGTAGTGCACAGTAATTACTCAGGAGTTAATTTGCTACTTGCATTTGCAGGTAGTAAATTAACTGCTGAGCAGAAGAAATTACTGTGTTTTAAGGGTCGGCACATGTAGACAGTGACACTTACTTCATGGTAATCAGCTCTACTGTGCAGTAAAGCATCTTATGTAGACACAACCATAAAAAACTTGCTTTAGACCTGAAAGCTTTTCTTTAGCCTCTACATTTATATCCCAGCAAAAGAAAGTATTTTAGATCATGTTTAGAGGTTCTTCATATTTTAGCAGTATTCAGTTTTTCTCTCAGAGGTTTCCGTTATTGGACCTATTGGGCAGATCCTCAGCTAATGTAAGCTGCCATAGTTCCACTGGACTAGCTGAAAACTAAAGTTCCAAACTTTGCCAAGGAAATAATTCCTGAATATTTCTGAAACATTTTCTCAGTGGAGGAAGTGAAAAAATAACTCTATGTGAAACAGACCAGTAGGTCACAATCCAGTACCAGCATTGAGGTAACTGTGTTACAAAAGCCAATATCCCCAGTGGTCCTAACCAACATCCTGAGTACAAGACTCAAAAGAAGCATGGATTGACCAGACATAGAAAATGTTCAGCCTTCTTGCTTCCAGATCTAGGGCATGGCATGCCTGAAGTATGAGGGAGGTTTGCACTGGCACTGCCCAGGCTGTGCATAGCTTTAGTACCTGAATAATGTCAATCTCCAGGGCTGTTATTGTTGCATCTCTCTCCAGTATAAACTGTAGTTTAAATAAAATGAATCTAATCAGTCAAACATTTCAAGGTCTGTCTCCTTACCTGTGTCACCTTCCCCCAGAGCTATCTCTTTTCTTCTGCTCACTGGGATTTGTGTCCTATGATGTTCAATGGTTTTTATTATTTTGGGTAAAAGCTGGGGGTCATTTATGTCTATTGAGAAGCAACATTGCAAGAGAACAGGTTCAGTCTGAGTAGCATCAAACAAAAGCAGCACAATTCTCTTCAACATTGCTGGTGTTATAAGCATATCTTGAAGTTTTAAGAAATCATGGTCTTTGTAGATTGGTATAAGAGTTACTGGGATAATCTTCATGGGTTTGCTTATGGCCTGTATGATCATTTCTCCTCCAGTGAAATTCCTGTAACCATGGTAGCAGAGAAAGCCATTCTTCTCCAGAACTGTCACAATCTTTTCGTCAATGAAATTGTCTACGTCAATTTGCTTCTTATTTTGTGGTGGAGTTGCTGAAGGGATGTAGAGGTCATAGCAGTAGAGTTTATGAAAAATGATGTCACCTAAAATGATACAAATTTAATGGACAAAATGTTCCACTTCACTGGGGATGTTCTTTTCTAAAGGAACTATTTCCAGCTGGCACCCAATTCAAAAGAAACAGGTGTGGCAATGAATATCCCTTGATCAGGATAGAAATAGCACTGGTTCTGCTTAGTGGAGACATATCTGGCAAGAGCCAAAAGGTTAAATGATATTTGAACAGGACTGAAATCTAGAATTCTTAATAAAAAGAAAATAAAAATAGAATAGAAAGAAAATAAACACACATAAAAAATAACATTATGGGTTATTCCATTAATATGTTAATTTTTCCTATTATTGCTTTTCTCCTTGGTGCTGTTTTGTTTCAATGCATTATAAAGCCATTTTCAGGTTTAGCAGGAACAACAGTTAAACTTTTGTAACATTAAACATTTCCTTTGTTCCCAGACTTCATCAATCATCTCTAGAGTGCATGAGTTTTCATCCAACTGGAGCAAAATGTGATGGAATGGAAAAAGGAAGTTTTGATCTTTCGCTTTGTGAAGTTGCTTAACCAGGCTTGTTTTAAACACCACTGCAGTTACTAGGGAGATTCCACTGACTTCACCAAGCTTTAAACTATACCCAAAATATATGAAATGATGCATTCTCTAGCAAAGCTGTCTGCTGGCATCTGCTGAAATGGAACCCAGTGCTAAGTTCAAGGTCTGAGGGCTCTCCAGCTTTGCACACACATGGATCTACATTTAGGGTAACATTTTCAAAAGCCAAAGGGCCTGTCTTCACTGTGGCAGAACATAGCAAGGAGTACTACCACGAAAACATGCTGCATCCACTCACTCCTACAAGTACTAAATGACTGTGCAGTACCTGCTGATACTGCGCAGTCCTGGCGGCTCATGCATCATTTCCAAACTTACCGCACAGTAGCAGCAAGCTACTGCCCAGTAACTCGTCATTACAGCACAGCAGAGGAGGTATCACAGTTAGTGCCTGCTGATGCTACATCACAGTAACAATGAACTATGGTGCTGTAGCTTGTTGCTATGGTGACGTAGCATCTTGCGTAGATGTTTTCTGTATGTGTTGCATGCTAAGAAGCATACCATGCAACTAGCTGCTGTTACAGTGAGGCTGGGAACATCCCTGACGCACATTCAAAAACGTCCACAGGACAGTTGGCACATGCAGAATGGGAGGAAGGAGGCAGAGCATTATTTATGGTAGTGTTCCTTGAGCACTGTCCAGCACAGGATAGACAAACCCTACGTTCCACTGAGCTTCAGCTCCTAAGGAACATCCAAAATAAGTCCTTTGGAAAATTTTGCTCTCAAGCTTTGAGACTCAAATTTCTCCTTCTCTGCTCTGAAGTTCTGTATTGATTTCCTCCTATCTGGAAAGGTACCCCTACCAGAACCAACCCCTGGCCCCCATCTCCATTTGAGCTGTACAGTGTCCATGGGACTGAGAAGGGTGAGAAAAAAGCCACAAGTCCTAAAGATTATGTCAGGAGTGTGACTTCTTGTTGGCCACATTTTAGCAGCATCATGGTACAGAGTAGGTTGGAACAGACCTTACCATATTTCCTTTCTCCACACTCAGTACAGACCTCCAGCTCATTGGGGTCATCCATCCTTCCCAAGCTGTTTGCAGGGTTTCGGTGCAAGTGTATGCGACTGCAGCAAGAACTTGCCTCCCATCTACCACATTTACTCTTACACTGCTCTTCAGTATCATTCAATGGTGGATTCACATTACAATGAGCCTGGGGTTTAGGGGTCAGTGGCCCAAGCTAGAGATGGGTTCAAAGAGAAAAAAAGAAAACAGGTCAAAGGAAGGGGTGATACAGGAAATTCAGGAGTAGGGGTTGGCTTTGACTGGAAGAAAATCTCATTTATCTTGATGGTCACATGAGATTCCTACCAACTATTATTTTTCCCTTGGTTGCATTTTATTAGACAGGGGAGTGTGGGTGTGGGGTGGGAGGGGCAGGGTAGAGAAAATCCTGGGACACCAGCTAAGGTCCTGATACTGGGTTTTGCTGAAGCCAGGTTGCTGGAGAACTAAACTCAGGATCCTGGAAGCAATGGAAATGCACAAACTCTCCATGTGAACTGTGCTCGTCTCCTGCAGACTCCCCTGGAGCCACTCTGGTCTGGGGCTGTGAAGTGGCTCAGTCTGTGAGAATGGGAGAAATCGCCACCAGAGTGATACTGG